ACCGTAAGAGCAGATGTTTCCCTGACCGCAAATACACATCTGCAAAACCCTGATCTGAAGGCAGGCGGGGGGAGGAGGGGGGCAGGGTTAGAGATGGAGGGATAGGCCAGTGTTGACGGAGGTTTACAGAAGATGTGAAGGAAGTAGGGTGGGAGAAAGAGGGATTGTCCAATGGCAAGCTAAAGACAGACAGCGATGATGCTCCCCTTGGTATCTCTTTTAAAAAGATAATTAGAGGGTGCTCAGCTGAAAACCACAGGCCAGGGAAAGAGAGGGGGGGTAAACGGGAGGCAGGGGAGCTCCAGCTTTGGGATTCTATCTTCTAGTGGGAATAGAGGATATGTGGTTTCCTTGATTGGACTGGGAATGGTAGCTGCCTGGGTGTGAGAACCGAGTGTCACACTGTACAGAACCTTTTCATTAGTGAGGTTAAGGAAGTTGCAAATCCAGCAAGAGATCATCAAGTTCATCCACTGATTACGTAACAACCCAGCCCAGATAGAAGCAGCGCAGTGGAACTATTACACTGATCTGATCTGCTGGATCAGCCCCACAAAACTCCTGGGCCTCGTGTTAGCTTCCAGGAATGATCCCAATGAGTTCCATACAGTTCAGATTTTAGGTTTGGGGAAAGGAAAGCATGGATATTGGATCAGGAATAGGTTTGTGCAGGTAGTCTAATCCCAGTTCAGATAATGAATGCATCCCTACTGATAATCAGTTCATCAGTGGGTCTACGCTTGTTGTTCCCCATACAGTCATCTTTCATTTCTCTTTCTTCCCATCAGCCAATTAGCAGTCTTAGCACAGACTGAATGGAACTGCTTTAACACTCTGTCTTCTGGCCAGTAGCATCTCATCTTTAAATGCTCCTGACGGTGAATGACAGCAAGCCTCTTCAACTATCAACCCCCATCATACCTCGCCTATAGCACCAGACCGCCGTGCACCCCCTGCACCGCACACACCCCATGTGGGCACTGCGAGTGTAAGCGTGTGTGGTTAAATGACCAATGAGTTCCAAACACAAGTCCGAACAGCGTATAAACACCTAGAAATCACACATGCAAGCCAGATCACGAGTGTGTCCATTTGTCCTAACCTACACCTCAGCCCTTCCTTTGTTGTTGTTGTTGTTGTCTCTACAGGAGGACAGACCTCCCTTAATCTGACAGAGCTCACATACTACACATCACCCCCCCCCGCTACATTAGCTAAACCACACCACACCCCACAAGCCACCAATGCAGCTTTGGTCTTGTAATCCTAAAAGCAGACAGACAGCCTAACAAGCTAACGGGCTCATCCAATTACAACAATAAGCCTATTAAAGACGCCTGGTGAGGCTCATCAGAGATGATCCTCTCTTAATGGACCTAAATGACTATGGTAACCTTCAATGCCAACAATAAATAGGACTGTTTCAACTGTTGGTTGTTACATTTTGAGGCATTTCCAAACATAAATGCTTGGTTGCTGATGTTAAATCAGTAGGCCTGTTGCCAGTTACGTCCTATCAAACTGTCCTATGTGGCATGTGCTCGAGCTTGGCCCGAGATCGCCCTCTTTCGCCCTCTGTTTTTCCAGATGGATACTGACACAAGGCGACGGCCGGGTGGGCTATGATTAGTCGGCCCCAAATTAAAGTCTCTGTTCCCGCATGCCAGCTTACTGACAGGCCGGCTTTGGAGGGAAGGAGGGAGAGATTACAAAGCCATTTCTCCTCATCTCTCCTCTCTACCTCTGCGATCCGTCCGCCCAACCACCAAGGAGGAGAGGCTCGCACGTCTGACACATGAAAGCTTTTAAACTTAAATCATCATTGGGGAGAATGGGCTTTCTGAATGAGGTGGAGAGGGAAAGTGACCCCCAACTCTAAAGTAGAACCAAATGGGCCAGAACGGTGACACCGTGTACCCATTCTGCCCACATCACAGACACCCATTAATTGCTCGTCGAGTCAGGGTTTCCGTGAGGAAAGCTGCAATAATATATGGTAATAAACACTTAAACACGTGCATTTTTACCCCCAAAACATGGTACCCCATAAGTGGGAGATCTCTTGAGCAAGGACTTGCTGAAAGGAATCCTTGACTCGCCAAAGTAGCTTGCTGTGTTTCCACCCCCAGCTCGAGTCAACTGGGAGGGAGAAGCGAGTCAGGGTCAATAAACCACTACATGAATCGGCCTTCGCAGGGCTCAAACACTCCACAATGTATAACAGCAAAGGTTTGGACAACAATTAGTTCATTTCAAAGGAGAGGCAGCGTTCTGCAAACCATCACATATTTTACAACCACATGCTAGTGAATTTCACAGTCCCCTTTCTGGTATGACAGCGCTAGGGTTAGGTCGTTTTCCAGTTGTGTGAACCTGTTTGATTTTGTGCAAAGCGTCTGAGCCAGCATTTGTCATGCTGAAGAAGAGCCACGAAGCAGCTCCCACTGATGTCAACCCTGTAGTTAGCGGATGTACAATACTCAGTGCTGGTCCGGTGTTTCACCTAATATCAAACCAGTCTAAAAATGTTTACATCGGCTCAAGCCTAGACTGCGCCTCCGATCACATGTGATGGCACCAACATTGAGATTTTGTCAGAACATACCATTATCAGTAGTAGCTTGGGTTTCAATGTGTCCCATACATATTTTTCTAGCCTGTAAAGAACATATTTATGGGCACACAGGGGATATTATTGGACATGGAAATGGTTCAAAGTAAAACTATGTTGTGATCAGTTGCTTGGAAATGTGGCCACAGCAATACTAACAGAACAAGGCTGCCTAAAGCTAGAACCTCCAGGCCTCAATCACTACAAGGAAAACTACCACCAATAAACCAAAAAAAGACTAACGCATTAACTAATGGGTATGTTGGGAGCTGGGAAACTGGGTTGGGTTTACATACCTGCATATTGGTTGCCTTTAACTCACATTAGTTTAACCCTTGTCCAAATCCAAAACCAAAACATGATCTGCTACATTCCCATGTGCCGCTGAGATGTGATTACAACCCGTCTACACAATGGATGTCTGTCAGAACCTCACCAAATGCCGGGCAGAGGAGCGCCGGGCTACCTGACACCCTGCAGCTGCTAGCCGAGGTCCTGTTATTGTAGGACTCCATTCACTGCTACAGGGAGGAGACAGAAGAGATATGGAGCATTGGTGTTGTCATTCCAGGATCATGTTAGGAAACCTCTGGCTGCAGTGTGGAGTTACCCCAATGTTGACCTGGACTGTGTAATACCTGACTGAGCACCGGCACATTTGCTGAGCTGGGAAATATGATAGAAAATAAACCAAGGGAACGAACAGCAATGCTTTTAATAACTTTTATTAATAGAGCTGCTGAGGTAGATGGAATCTGACCTGATGAAGGAAAATAAAAGAACTTTACCACTGGTTTTACACAGGTTTATCAATGCATTAAGACCGACTGGGGGAAGCAGGTTTAGACGGCAGAGTTTTCAAATGAAGGCCACATGGGGACAAAGGCAGATGGTAATACCCCATAGGTCAGCAAAAGCAATACAGTAAAGACTATCCCTGATTTGATGTCTCCGTGAAGCATGCAAGATCATATTTGTTGTTTATGTGTCTGGATCTGTTGTCTAGCAACGATGAGGTAATGAAAACCAGACGTGTTTTTTAAGGTCACAATGCTAGAAAACAAGGAATTAGGTTACATAACAGTGGGCTTTGTTAGAAAGGATAAAACTGCAACACAAATATTAAAAAACAGACAAAGCGAATGTTAGCACCAGCTACACAGTAAGTTATCAGGCAGCATGTCAGGATGAGAAGAGTTTAACACGGGAGGTCAGTGAAGGTGACGGGGAGCCTCTGTTGCAGGGACATTCCACGCTGAGCACTTGAGTCCTCAGCACTGTCTACTGTCTGCAAGCTTATGTAGCTCTCCTGTTTAATCCTAGAATCATTCCACCAAATGCCACTGTGGTGAGCAGCAGCAATGAGCAGCCTGAAGTCAGCCTAAAAGTTTCAGTTGAATCAATTTAAGTGCGACTTGGAATGCATAGCTTAAGGTCTTAACTCCTGAGGACGGGAGTCCCATGCAGAGGTCTCGCTTCGCTTTTATGAGGCCTGCACTGTTGCATGAAGTGAAGCCACATTAAATTGCCAGATGATCGAATGGAGTTTGGCGTGAAGTGCATACAACATAAACACTAAGCAACCTCCCACAACCCTAATGACACTGTCAGGAGCCAGCCGTCTCTCCACAGTCTCCTCTCTCTGACTCCCTCCCATTCTGTTGGAGGAATAACACCACCTTTTATTTTGAAACTCTGCATTGAGCTGAAAGTCACCACTGGCTCTCCCAATTTGTGAACACAGAGTGCTGAAGTGTGGGCAAAATATCATCCGGCAGTCGCGTGGATGCTCTAAATAAAGTTTCACCCTAATGGGATACTATCAGCGCGTGGTGCTGTGTGCGCTCGCGTGCTGCTGTGTGCGCTCGCGTGCGTGTACGTGCAAGCGTGCGCGCGTGTTTTCAACGACACACTGCTTTAATACAGTTAGCCATTGGCTAATTTAAACACACTGTCAAATAAAGAATACAATTGTAGCAATTTTATAGTGAAGTTTTGTAAGTCATTACTAGGTCAAACTGTTTAATGAGGCTGTTAGCCTTAATATTACTGAAGTTGGAGGAAAAGTTCAGTAAATCTTCAAGTAAAAGTACAATATTCAGAATACAATCCCATGAAATGTCACAGAGACATTAATAACGACAGCAGGAACAGCAAACCAAAACCGTTATGAGCAAACGAGGTGGGGATATAAGGTACAGATGTTCGGTGCGAACTCTAGATGCTAGCAGCTCATGGAAGCCAGACTTTGGTAGGTTTATGTGGCTATTACAGTGTGAATACAGTGTGAATACAGTGTGATACGGACGCTGGAACCTCCTGACACACATGTTGGTGTGAATTAGAGCGTCCCAGCTGCTAAAAAGAAGCCCCAGGTTGAGCCACTCACCCCTGTTGGAAGTGAACAGAACAGGGTCGCTCCTCATCGTGAAGTCAAACTCATCTAATCCGCCCGACGACACACAGGAGCAGGCGCGTGCCCAGCGGCTCCCCGGCAGCAGTAAAATCCACACACACACACACAGACACACACACTGAGACTATGAGCCGTTTGAGCCTTCGGTTTCAACCTCCACTTATTCGTTTTGTACCGCGCCGGCCACTGAGACGTCTCTCTTTTTCTTTCAAACTTTTTCTCCGGATCTTTCTACTCCTCCTCCTCCCTTTCCCTTCTTTCCTCCTCCCCTGCTCTTCCCCAAATGTCTCTCTACCCCACTCTTTCTCTCTCCCGATAACTGCCTGCATGGATACTTGTGCTGCATTTAAAGACCATCGGAAATAAGCAATCTTTCACTTTATTGCCGACCAGAGTATTGCATTTAAAGAGATTTCTCTGAAATTTAAAATGTCGTAGTCATTACTACATCAAGTAGCAGCTTACTCTGACAAAATAATAGAATAAATATTAATAATCATATTAATAATGTATATACCAGTATTTATGTTGCACCATTATTGCAGCGCTGCACCACTACAGCATATTTAATTTATCTGTGATGTTTGTAAATGTATTATGTATTGTTTTAATGGCCTTGTTGTAAAGCCAACTTTGGGACCTTTCGGCTATTGTTAAAGGGCTCATACCACAATACAACTTGATTGATTGATTGATGATTAACCAGTCAATTGAGAACCAATTCTCATTGATAATGACGACCTGGCCAAGACTCAAGGACAAGATAATATCAATAATATCATTACTAATAACACTAATAGGTTTTTAATATGTGAATTAATATTAAAATGATAACAGTAATGCTCTAAAACAATAATATTGACCGTTAATAATAATACATCTGATATTGCATGTCCTCTTTGCATTAAGAAAATAAACGGTCCCCCTACAGTCTATATCCACATAAGGCACATCAGTGCGCACATCTGAAAAGGAGACTTACCTTAGTGCCCCTGAAGGCAGCATATCCCTCCTTATGGGAATAAGCCTTTCAAAATCTCAGCCTCCAGTGGCCTTGTTGGTAACACTACTTATTATTTCTCCATTCAGTTCAGTTACACCGGGACATAAATTCAGGGTAAAAAGTGAGAAATAAAGACAGTATATGAACACATCCAGACCCATCATTCATAAACACTGACCTCTGAGCAGCAGGAGAACTCCTTAATTGATGCTGGGGTGGAACTTAACTAGGGCCTCCACCTATGACCTCATTATTAGAAATTGCTTATAATTGTAATTATCTACACATTTAAGCTTACTCTTGCGCTCCTTGGTTGTTACTCTGGAGAAAAGCAAGTAAATTCAAAATGTCAATGATTCTCCTTCTTTAAACCCCCTGCGCTGCTGCCAAAGTTTGGTTTATCAAGATGAATTCAAACCCTGTAACCTCAAAACTCCTTCAGATTGCTCGCAACCAGCTTTAGTTATACTT